CCGGCGCCCGCACCTATTGGTATGGCCCCAGGCCCAAGTCCTGACCCTCCCTTCGTCCCGCTCGGCTAGACGGTGTCGCTAGCCGTCCATCCACACCCTCCCCGGGCCGCTAGGAGGACCGAGCTCTGCCAACATGACCCTCCCCCTCATCTGCCCCAGGCCCCCTCCGACCTTTGGCAAAGAGGGTGGGGAAACCCCCGACTCGCTGGCCCACCTGGTGCACATCCTCAGCTACAGGGAAGAAAGCTGCCGCTCGGCCTCCCGCTCGGGGCACAGCGCCGCCCTGCTCCCGACCCCTGGGCCCCGCCCCGGTCACCAGCTGCTGCTCTTTGGAGGCTGCGACTCAGCTGAGCCAGACGTGGCCGGGTTCTGGGGTCATGGGAAGATTCAGGTACCGCTCACACCCTCCTTAGGGCGGAAGGCAGTTAGAACTGCGGCGCTCACAGCCCTCCAGACAGACAGCCCTTCTTTCTCCCCGAGGAGGAAGCGCCTGCCGCCCCCCGTTTGACGGAGCAGCTAGCGAAGCTCGTGAGCAGTGGGCAAGGGTCCCGGCAGGGGCCTCGGGGCCTCCGGCATCATTCATGCTCAGTGGTTGGGCCCTTTGCTGTGCTGTTTGGTGGAGAAACTCTGACCAGAGCTAGAGACACCATCTGCAATGACCTCTACGTCTATGATACCCGTGAGAGCACATTTAAGGACTGATGAGGGGGAGGGTGGGAAGACAGGAGAGCCTGAAGAGCATAGAATGGGGTAGAGTGATGGAGGAGGGAGAAGGAAGAATGAGTTGACAACTTCAAGGAACACACAGAATATTAAATTTTGAAGAGGCCCAATAATCAAGTGAGGAGGGAAAAAAGAGCGAGCCTTTGGTCGAGCGCCTGGGTGACCAAGTGCTACCACCCCAATAACCGCGTCCTCTGCCTCCCCCCACAGGCAGGGCTCCTTCCCTGTGGTTCCACTTCCCCTGTGCAGACCGCACGCTGAAACGCGTGGGCCACCGGACCTGCCTTTGCAATGACCAGCTGTACCTGGTTGGGGGTTTTGGGGAGGACGGCAGGACGGCCAGTCCCCAAGTGTGCACCCTGGACCTCTTTCTCTAAAGACTGGTGCCAAGACACACTGCCATGCCGCTGTTTCATGTAAACTCAGCATTATCGCCAGAGCTACCTTCCTCATGTCAAATGCTTATTAAATTTCCATCTAACAGTCAATGTTTGTCTCTGAATCTTTTGGGGTGAGGGCAGTAAGGAGACACATCTGCCCTGGTCAGTGTGCTCCATGGTTAGAGTGTTGGCCCAGCACACAAGGGTCGATTCCCGATCTGGGACACATACTTGGGTTGCAGTTTCGTCCCCACCCCAGTTGGGTCAAGTTAGGGAGGCAACCAATCCATGTCTGTCTCTCCTCCTCCCCCGCCCCCCTTTTCCTTTCACTAAGAAAACCAATGGGAAAAAATACCCTTAGGTGAGAATTAACAAAAAACGCAAAAAAGTAGAGACATCTTTGTATGCAAGGCAAAGGATAAAGCATGGGCCCTTCCCAATACTGCGGGCCATTCACCTGATGGAACCAAGGCCACCACCACATGCTCTTCCCCACCCCATGCAAACCATCCCTCATGTGGGAAGAAAGTTTCAGGCTAGAGAGAAGCATTCTGACTAAAACATTTAATTAACAAAAAATATTGTAATAGCAGAGAAAGTAACAACAATAACGAGAAATTAGAGTGGGAGTCAGGTAGGAAAAAATGCAAAAGCCTTGGTCCCTAGGAGACCAACACTCCGGCTGAGCTGGCCTTAGCACCAGCTCCTTCTGAGTTTTCCTTGGCTGGCTTCTCGTCCTCGCCCATGAGCCGAATATTGTGCTTTTCCCGGAATTCATTTAGTTCTTTTCCCTTTGCCTGAAGCTGCTGTGTCAGTGTCTCAATGATCTTCTGAATCTAGAAAGCAAGGGACAGACGTTACATAAGGACTGCCATCCACACCCTGGTGTGGGGTAGGGGAGTGAAGAAGACACGACACCTCCAACCTCGCCTTTAACCAGGTAGGAAAGTAGAGTCAGACACTAAAATTACTCCTTCTCAAACACGAGGTTTCATAAACCTAGTGTACACAAGGATCCCATGGACTGCTTTCCCCCCCCTAATATATTACTATTGATTTCAGAGAGGAAGAGAGATAGAAACATCAATGATGAGAGGGAATCATTGATTGGCTGCCTCTTGCACGCCCCCCAATGGGGACCGAGCCCACAACCCAGGCATGTGCCCTTGACCGGAATCGAACCCAGGACCCTTCAGTCCGCAGGCCGACGCTCTATCCACTGAGCCAAACCGGCTGGGACGACTGCTTATTTTTAAAATGCCACTTCATGGGCCCCAGCTCCAAAGGCTCTGAACTAGGACAGGGTCTAGGAAGCTGCATGTCAAATTAGTCCTCCAGGTGATTTGGACGCAGGTATCCATGGAAACACTGCTGTCACCACCTCTTTTCCCCAAATCAGCCAGGTCACAGAGCCCAGGGATAGAAGCATACAGCCTCTTGTCTAGGAGGTGGACCTAGTGCAGCATAAAGAGCAGAGGCTAAGAGGCTACACAGATTTCCTGCCACCTCTCCCCTGATCCCTGCCCTCCTCTTCCCTATCCCTGGTCGCCCAGAGCTCTCCTCAGAGCCTCCCGCTCACCTGCTCCTTGTTGTTCTCCAAGGCAGGCAGCACCTCTTTGACAGTGCGCTCCACCAGCACCCCGCCGACCATGCGGAAGCACTTGCGGGTCTCATCTACCTCCTTCAGTGTATCAATCACTAGGCTGGGGCAGGACAACAGACAGGGTCTCAGAATGCAGGCCCTGCTACTGCAGCCCTCCCTACAGAAACGTGAACCCAACTCCACAGCTGCCTCACCTGTGCTCGTTCAACTCCATTTCCAGCTCGGCTGCCTTGGATGCTAGGCCCCGCTGTTCCTGCCGAAGGCGGTTGAAGCCAGCAATCACCTGAGGTGAGAGACGTAGGAAGTGGGAGAGGAGGCAGTGAAAATGGCAGAGTCAAGATACAATCTACCATCACAGGCTTTACAAGATGCAGTGGGGCACACCTACCTCGGAAAAGGAGAAGACACATGTTTGCAATTTCTGAGGTCTGCCTAGAAGTCCACCCCCCAACACTTACTGGTGCCTCCGTGTGGCACCTGCTGGCCCACCTGGCAGTAACAGCTGGTGAGGAATTGCAACTGGAATAAAGGGTGAGGTGCAAAGCTACTGGATCACTACAGAGGAGTGTAGACTTGCAGGTAAAGGGGAGTCAGGAAAGACATTGTAATGACTAGGTCCTGCCTGGGTCTGCCCAGCACCCCTCCCATTGGGGAACTGCCTCGCCTTAACACAGTGGGTTCTTGGGGGGAGGGGAGAGCACTAATCACAGGGTCTTGCTCCCTGACCACAGGGCAGTGACCTGTTCTGTGCTAGTTTCTCCACGGAATTAGATTCTGGGTAGAGATGAATAGGTACAGAAGTTAGAGCTAAGACACCTTGTTGTCCTTTGTGTGAACTAGTTATCTGACCTTTCTTTTTGGTGTTCAATTCTGTGAACTACCCCACCGTTCTTCTAAAATAATCCTTAAAACAAACAAACAGAAAAGCCTGGCCCCTGGGCTTAGTTGGTTCGAGTGTCATCCTGATGTGCCATGGTTGTGGGTTTGATCCCCAGAGGGGGCAAGTACGGGAGGCAACCGATGGATGTCCCCCCCCCCCATCAATAAAAATATATCCTTGGGTGAGGATAAATATGTGAAATACACATTTCTTCCCTTTCCAACTACATACACAAAACCATTAAGGAGGGGAAAGGCCTCTCAAAGAATATACTCCAAAAGATTAAGAATAATTATCTCTTGCCCTGGCTGGTTTGGCTCAGTGGATAGAGTGTCGGCCTGCGGACTGAAGGGTCCCAGGTTCGATTCCGGCCAAGGGCACATGCCGGGGTTTCGAGCTCGATCCCCAGTAGGGACATGAGGGAGGCAGCCAATCAATGATTCTCTCTTATCATTGATGTTTCTCTCTCCCTCTTCCTTCCTCTCTGAAATCAATAGAGAAATATATATATAAAAAAAGAATAGTTATCTCTTGATAGCAAGATCATGGGTAATTTATTATTTTGTACTTTTTTCTGTGTTTTCTACATTTCCAATAGAATAATATATCCTGTGATTCCCTTACTATTTATATTAAAAAGTCCCAAATTGCCCTGCTCAGTGTGGCTCAGTGGTTGAGCATCGACCCATGGACCTCACAGTTCAGTTCCTGGTCAGGGCACAGGCCCGGGTTGTGGTCTTGACCCCCAGTATCAGATATGCAGGGGGCAGCTGATCAATGTTGCTCTCTCATCGGTGTTTCACTCTCTCACTCCCTCTCTCTTCCTGTCTCTAAAAGTAATAAAATGTATATATACATTTTTAAAGTCCCAAATAATTTGCCATGAAGAGATTCAACTTACTTTCAGAATATCTCTTAAATTATACTTGATGATTTAATTAAACTAACAGCCAGCTCATTTCCTGAAGATCTATGCTTTCCCCCTCTCTCCTTTTCCTACCCTATTTCCATTGCCCCCTTTCAAGTCTATCCAGTCCTCAGGGTCAGCTCAAATATCTGATATGATCACGGTGTAAGTGAAGAAAGAAAAGTCTGACTCTAAAGTCCCTCAACTAAAAGCCCTGCTCTTCAAGTCACTGACTTTGGGTAAGTTAACTAAAGTTTCTGAAACTCGACTGTCCTTACCCGTAAAAGAACAATACAGCTCACTGCAAATGGCAGTGGGTAACAGAAGTAAGTGCAGTGCCCAGCACAGTGTGCGACTGCTTCCATCTTGTTTGTAAGGGACATATGTGGCTCAAAGTTGCAGCAACGACAGATCTTATATATATATATTTTTTTATTGCTTAAATTATTACAAAGAGTATTACATATGTCTCCTTTTTTCCCCCCTTGACAATCCCCTGGCCTCCCCTACCCCTCAGTGTCTTATGTCCATTGGTTATGCTTATATGCATGCATACAAGTCCTTCGGTTGATCTCTTACCCACCCCCCGACAGATCTTATATTTTTCATCAGTGTTCTCTCTGGAACACAAAGGCCAGAGAGTGCTAAGCAAGAACAGTCTAAAATTCAATTATCACAACCCCTCAGTTTCTTTCATGGGATTCTTTTTCTCCACCACTGTTTGCTTCTTTTTTCACTTTCTGTGCAAACCTTAGATGACTTTATGGCTTTGTCTGCAGCCATGAGCTCTTAATTCTCTAACCTATAGCTCCAACTCAGATTTCTTTCTGTAACTCAAGATTTATAAATCTAACCACCAGCTAAATGTCTCTACCTGGATGTCTCACAAGAAATGCAAACCTAAAATTCTAAAATAAACTTATTTTCTCCCATTAACTTGTCCATCTTCCTATAGTTCCAATGGCACCAGCATCCATCAAAGACAGAAACCTGAGAAACATCCTAGATTACTTTTATCCCTTTTTCTCCACATCCGAGTCTTGTAATCCAGTCCAAAATTTAAGTGTATCTGCATCCCAAGCATGTCAGGCAGTCTCATGCCTTTGTACTTTTTAAAAAAAATTTATTGGGGTGACACTAGTCTACATGAACATATAGGTTTCATGTGTGGATTACTGATTTACAAAACCTGTTTATAGGACCATGTGCCCACCACCCAAAGTCACATGTTCTCCTGTCACCTCATATCAGGACCCCTTCTGCCCCCACCCCCTCCCTCTGGCAGCCACCTCACGCTGTTTGTGTTCATGAGTTTCGGTTTTACTGTATGTCCCACATAGGAGTGAAATCACATGGTCCTTAGCTTTCTCTGCCTCCTTCCACTTCGCATGATGTTCTCAGGTCCACCACGTTGCTGTAAATGACGCCATTTCCTCCTTTCTTATGGCCATGTGTCTTTGTACTTTTGAATACACTGCTCACTCTGCCTAGAAAACCCTCCACTTCCTTCTTTGCTTGGCTTTCTCATCTTTTAGAATTGAGCTGAAGGACTGTCTCTTCTAGAACACAAAATAAGTAGCATTTATTAAGCCCATGCTATATTCCGGTCACTGTGCAAAACACTTTGCATGAACTGTCTTGCCTAATCAAAACACAGTGATGAGGTAGGTACCATTAGGTTTTACCGGAGGGAAAGGCCAAGGGTGGTCACAGATAGT